GAAGTCGTGAGTAAGAGGACGCTGCGTTTCTCGGAGGATCTACGAAGCAGCTCGCGGAGGCTTGTGTGGCTGCGCTGTATAATGAGGAACAAATAGAGCAGGAGGAACGCGGGAAGGGAGAAAGTGGAACGGGACGAGGCGTTCGAGCGAACTGGGAACTAGGAAGAAAGCGCAAGGGGGCGAGCGGTAGAGATCGTTCAGGCTGACTATTGTGGTTATGAACTCTAGTCACACCGGAAGGCTTCTCTCACAAGTGAGTTACGTACTCACTACAAGTTCGAGGTTGAGGGCCAGAGCTTGAGAAGAACCACCGTCCATGGTCAACACTCATCGACGATGGCATGACAAGATCTGTCACACCCGGCCCGGGGCGGATGTGTTCCCCGGTCGCACGCAACGCATCACCATCTGATCTCACCACCACACCACCAACCAAACCCAATTCTGCTCTGCTTGCCCCTTCGATTCCCCGTCTCGCGTGTGAATTTTTGCACGACTGGCGATTCGGCAAACAGCCAAGAGCACGAGAATTTGTTTTGCCCCAGCGACGATGTTTGTCGGGGCTTGGGCGGACGTCAGCATCCCGCTGGCGTAAACTGCAAGTGACGCAGATTGTGCGCGGGGATCCCGTGGCGGGGAAGACCGCAACTTCATTTGTGCTGTGCTGTGATGCCAGCGCTGTGAAGCGGAGGGGGGATGCGGCGGAGAAATGCACAACGCAGGAATCCAGCACGCGCAAAAATCAGCATCCAAGATTGCCCCGCCCCCCCTTCCCTTGCCCTTTCGCTGCGAGAAGTGACTACGGCCCCTCGGTGAGCAAAAGGTCTGGAATCCCCACAACTCATTTAACATTTTTGGATATATCGCCTGCTCGGTGACGAGTGTTTCTCGAATGTGCAAGCTCATCTGTTCTAACCTTTACCGAGACACAGTTTCGGAGGAAATTTGCGGAACTGTTTCGCGGACATGACAAGGAGTGGAGAACCCACGTTCTTTGAACAAAAGTCGCAAGCATCGCATCGCAACGGCAATTTCGAGCGAGCAGCCGCGAGTGGGTTACAAGCATCGCCTAGACGTAACTTTTTGTTGCAGATGTCCACCAATAAGATTGCTTCGCGGGCTTCACCTTGTTTCTGTCTCTCAACAGGCTTCAACTGGACCGCTTCGGTCAGGCTGTTTCTAGAAAATGGCGGCCATACTTCATCTCTACCTCCATTTACTTGCTTGAGAATCGTGCACTGAAAGAATGCAGCACGGCATTACTCACAGCCTCTTTTCTGTACTCAGGTTCCTTCGTCGCGGCCGTTAGATACCAAATCATGGATTCTTGTTTTAGTCAATGAAGCTGTGTCAGTTTTGCCGTCAGATACTTTCCACGCTAGGCGAGCCGCGAGTGATCAACCTATCGACCAACCCACTCGATACCTATCTCAATCTACAGATCAATAGTGTTCTTGGTTGTTCGTAATAGGTAGCTCATCTTCATTACGACATCGAGGGGCTCGACTCGATGTCGTCATCGGGTCACAGAAATGGCGATCTGCACATCGGCACCAGTAGAGACACCACACATATCCTGTCAAGCGGAGCCCAATTCTCTCCCTCCTACTCGCAAGCAACCGGCAGAATGGGAAGCGGATTCACTCTGGCAGCGAGTCACAAGAAGCAGAGCGATGCGATAAAGCAGAAGCAAAAGCACAAGCCAAAGCAACGCCCGTCCTTCTCTCGCCGACCCCCGCTTATGCTTCCCAGAACGTGGCGAATGCTACGGTTTCTTTTCATCGCCTTCGTCATCGCGTTAGCTCTCTCGTCATTCTTGATGTCCGGGATCGCTCCGTTCCTAGGAAACCCTAAAGCGATGTGGGCGTTTCTGACCACTCGGCGAGTGCGTAGAATAGCGTTCGGGTCTGGGACAACTCCGGAGAACACGTCGCAACCAGTGTGGACACGAGCCGTCATTCCGTCCTCGCCTGACGTGTGGATATGGTGAGCCACGTCAGTCCCTTGGGATTGGTTCTTCATGTAACCCTAACCTTAGTCAATGCGGAGAGACCGTTAATCTCAGATGCGATCGTTTTCTTGGAAACCCTAAGTTTCAGAAGCTTGTGGCTTACTTCTTCCTGTTCCATGTGTCATCTGATCAGGCTTGGTGACATGGCTTATCTGGATGAGCCCGAGGTGAACTGTACACGGTGGCCGTTACATCCACAATGTAACTGTACCAGCGACTGGTTTCAACAACGGGGCATATCATGTGTCAGAGGTGAGCACTTGAAGTGTTTCTTCCAGAAAAAAACCAATTCTGAGCTGTAACAATGCCAAAAGTTGACAACTAAATGCAGAATTCATATCTTCTCTAGGAGTTCAAGCACCTCATCCCTGTCCACATTCTCACCTGAACCTGTGCTACCCTCGGTCCCACTCTCTCTTCTGTTCCCCCCTTCCCCCTGGCTCTCCAGGAAACAGCAAGTATGCCATCACTCGGATGCAGCAGCAATTACAGAACCCAGATTACATAAAAGTATGGCCGCATGCTTGCATTGCATCTCTTGCATTCCTGTTCGTTCCAACATCAGCACTCTGCTCTGATCAAGCTCTGTGCGCTGCTCGTGTCGGTTCGTGCTGCTTTGGTGCTCTGCTCATGCTCCGTTGTGTTCTGCTCTTGGCCTGACTGATGGTGTGCTGATCCCTCTGCGTGCTACCTGAGTAGCAGCAACCCGAGCACCACATGAAAAGCGTTCATGCTTTGTCAATGGTTTCTTTCTGTCTCTGGAGGGGAGGATTGAGAATTGGATGTGCTGGGTGAAATGGATCTGACTGGATTCATTTGGATTACGTGGGGGGCATGGGCTCGGTTGGATTGGATGGATGGGAGGGGGGTTGGAATGACCGTGTTGCAGTTTCTGCAGTTCATGTGTCCGCGCTACAAGCCGAGCAACGTGACGCCGATCCCCGATGGCTCTGATCCGTCCGCGTGCCCGCGCAGCATCCTGGGCGTGTATGATGACCGGGACTTCGGCTGGTGCGTTTCCCTTCACGCCCTTCCCCACCCACACTCCCCACCCACACTCCTCACCCACACTCCCCACCCACACTCCTCACCCACACTCCTCACCTGCATTCCTCTTTCACGCTCTCTCAATTCCCCTTAGCCGCTAGGTAGCCCTGTCTAACTCTCACTTGTCACCCCCACCCTCACTCACCTCACCCCTATCCCTGTGTGAGCAGGGCGCACGGGTACAAACGACTGATGCACAAGGACCCGCTCAAGACCGTCTTCCTCGATGCCCTGGGCGCGCCCAAAGAGGACCCGCGGCGTGACCGCGGAGATGGCATCCAGGCTGTGGTGAGGGGCGGGGGAGGGGGAGGGGGGAGGGGGAGAGGGGAGGGGGGAGGGGGGAGCGGGCTGGGGTGGGAGAGGCGAAGGAGATGGAGAGGTGGAAGTGGAGAGGGGAGCGGAGCGAGAGGGGGATGGCATGCAGGCCGTGGTGAGGGGACGGTATCCAGGGATTGACTGACTGTTCCAGCCAATTCATTGTTCCACTCCACACCCCTTATCAATTGCGCCCTCGAGTTGGTGTTCTGTCTCTGCTGCTTGACTGCTCCAACAGACTCACCATTCCACACCCTTTATCTACCGTTCTGTACCCCTCACCACCGTTGCCCCCTCGCCTGCAGTACCACCTGAACGAGGCGCTGCCAGGTCAGCAGATCGACGTGTTCCTATTGGACGAGCGGTACTACCGGGAGAACCTGCCATGCCACGTGCGTCGGGAGTTCTGCACCTCTGTTATGGACCTTGACAGACCACATAGCTGGCGCTCGTGGTGAGACAGGGGGTCTTGCATGTCGATGGGTGCTGTGCGTCGATCAGGTGAGGGAGAGCAGGTATTTGTGCCCCCCTTGCATGCGACTTCCTTGCACGCGACCCCCCCTGGCCGGCCAGGTATTTGTGCCCTTTTGCAGCAACAACCTCTTGCTCCTCTGTGTGCTTCTGGCCGCCCACGTTTTATGGTTTGTTCCTTTCCCGTGCCTGTGTGCAGGTGCGGGGACTTTCTAGGGCGGGAGGTGCCTCGGAATCGGTGGTCGTGCTGTGACAAGGACGAGAAACTCTTCCAAGGTGAGATTATAACGAGGATGAGAAGCTGTTTCAAACTTTCATGGTATCGAACAAGCATGTGGAAGCTTCTTAAAAGGCCCGTAACGAATCGAATGCAATGCAAAGCTTGCAAGCACTCTTGCAGCTTGACACTGACACTTGAGATTAATGCCTCTCAAGCAACCTCCGTAGCTCCTCCTCTCCTCCTCTCTTCCCGCTCTCGCTCTCCTCCCTTTCTCCCATCTCCCCGCTTTGCCTCTCCCCTTCCCTCCTCCCCCTCCCCCCTCTGGCACAGAGCAGCGTGGTGCGGGCACGAGGCGCACCGCAACCACTTGCTGTGGGAGGAGACTTTTGTCTCTCAAAGCAACCTCCAAGGCCCTCTCTCTCCCCCTCTCCTCCTCCTCCCCCCTCTGGCACAGAGCAGCGTGGTGCGGGCACGAGGCGCACCGCAACCACTCCCTGTGGGAAGAGGCGTGCAGTCCAGCTCACGATGCATTCGGATCGCAGAAGATCAGCGTGCGCAAGAAGGGCAAGGACCCTGCGCTCTGGGACATATACATAGAAGAGCAACCGGAGCCGCATAACTCGCAGTACTGTGAGGTGCTGGGGCGGCAGCAGCGCCTGTGGCTGCAGGATGAGTTGCACGACTCGAATGCGCCCATCAAGGTCATTGTCTCGCCCTCGCCGCTCTTCACGAATCCGCTGCCGCAGCCCTGCTCGCCGTTCCCGAAGGAGCTCTCCACTGCTGCCACGCTTACCGGGCCGTATGGGTCCGAACCTCCTGATGAACCGGATTTTGCAGGCTCGGCAGCAGCAGCAGCAGCAGCAGCACCTTCTGGTGCCAATGGTTCGGTTTCCGAGCCTCCTTCTACGTCCGTTCCGCCTGTGGCGCCGGTTACGGAGGACCCAGTTACCAACGTAACACAGTGCACATGCTCGGGGGACGATTGGGAGTGTTACAAGCCGGCACAGCTGCACTTTCTGGAGATGCTCTCGCGGGTCGAGAAGGGGTGTGTGGTGCTGCTGACAGGGGACATGGGGTACTCAGACATCAAGGTAGGGCTTTAAACAGGTATTGTGCCTGTTTCTGTCAATCCTGATTGGTGTTTGGCACTAGCAGGCTGTGGTCATTTCTTGAGGCCGCATGGTTGGTTCCTGAATAATCTTCCTCCCTGCTTGTGTGCTGCTTGCGTGTCTGCTTACTTGCGTGGACTCCTGCGTGGGGCACCAGGTGTTCCGGCCGGGTCCAGGGCGGGCATACACGGATCTCTACCGCAGCTCACAGCACTATCGCCCCATCTACCAGGTCTGTCAGCCCCACGCGCTTCACCCATGATTTGACTCGGAACTTATTTGCGCCTTGCAGCATTACCGCCTCATCTACCCCCATGCGCCCCCTTTTTTTTGCATCGCGTACAGTTTTTGTGATGTCAGTACGGTCTTTTTGTTTCCGTCTTGTCTGAATTGGCAGGTCATGGCAAGTGGATTGACAAGGAGACCACGAATAGACACATCCTGCAGTCCAGGTGAGTTTGTCTGATGTCAAAATGAATCATTCTGGAGTCAAGTCAATCAGTATGCAGTCCAACTGAGTCAATCTTTGGTCAAGCGAGTCAATCTGCCGTCGAACGAGATTGAGATCCAGCTGGTTTGGGAATTCTCATTCTCGGCATCACCCACTATCTCTTCTCTTGCGCATCATCATCTCTTTGCTTGGGCATCACCCAACCAGGCCCCTCCGCTCCGCTGTCACCCTCTCTAGTCAGACCATCACCTCGCAAACACATCTCTTTTGAGAGCGTTTTCCGAGGTGCCTCAAAAACAGAATCATAGGAGTGGGAGGGAGCACGCAGCTTCTTTGGTTTGCTCATTCCCTGTGGCTGTGTGGCTGTGTGTGTGCGTGTGTGCGGGAGGGATGGGCAGGCAACGCGTGGACGCATGACCCGCTCAAGATGCGGCACCCCTCCGAGTGCTCCATTGCCCCTGCCCCCTCCTTTGGCATGGTGGAGGTGAGTGCTGGTGGGGGTTGGAAGTGCCGTTGTGGTGTGAATACCATGGATCATATTCTGCATTTTAAGGAGTGTTGTAGCTTTGCGTTGGTGAAAGTGATGGTTTCCTTAAGATTTAGCTCACCCTTTTCTCTTGATTATTATCTTGTTTGTCCCATTCCCCACCTTCTGCAGGTGGATTGGGATAGAGAAAAGTTGGTGAAGCTACAGGTGAGGGACGGGGATACGAGTCAAGTTAGAATAGAGCTTGTGTTGGAGTTGGCCGAGTGCCTAAACCATTGATGAATATAACAGCAGGTCAGATTTGCAAGCCCTTGCAATCTAATCTAGATATTTCTTCTACTAAATATAATATTTTTTCATTCCTAGCCATTTCACATTCACGCCTGCGGTTATCACGCATGCTCTGTCGGGTCCTCCTGAAGCGCGTAATCGGATCTGACAAAGCAGAGCCCAATCATCATCAGTCGCCATCAGTAAGACCTGCAACGGAAGGTGACTACTAGACGCGACACCATCGGTTACTCCCCGTCGAGTTCCTTCTCGAGCGTTCACCGTACATTTCTCTAACGATTTCGAAGGATTCGATAAGAGCTTGAGGAATCTTCGAGGATCGTAGAGGATAACGCAGCGATGCGATTGTAGGCATGCAGCGCCACCTCGTCTCGCGCGCAGCCTCGCGCTCCCTTCGCTTTCGACGACAGCAAGGCGGCAGATGGGGCGTCACGATTAGCCGTACGACCCACGTGGCACGGGATGAACCGGTACATGATACCGCACAACTGAATACGTTCTTTCCCCCAGCTGGGTACGCAAGCGCCGTTTATCCGCCCACATGGCTTCCGAACACGCCTGCTGGGAGCGGCGGGATTTTCCGCCGGGAGTACGGTTCGCGGGAGTTAGATGTTCGGGGGCGGCGGGGATTGGCGGCTGCCGCAGAAGCTGCGCCAGCGGCGGATGCGGACGAGGTGGCGCGGATGGCGGAAACTTCTGCGGAACGTACGCCAGAGGCTGCGGCGGCGGGGGGCGGGGCGCAGACCCGCGCAGAGGGCGGTGGGCGGAAGGGCGGGGGCAAAGGCGGGGGAAGCGGGTGGTGGGAGGCGGAGGAGAGGCGGCGACAGAAGCGGGTGCCGGCGTGGGTGTTTGGGGAGTTCGAGCATCCCATCCGACGTGGCGGCCTGCCGTTGCACGCGTGGATCGCGTTCAAGGTTCTCAAAGATGCCGGTGCGCGCCGCTGCCTCATCAACCGCCGTCTTTTCCTCTTCCTCGCTCTCTTCCGCCCTCTCTATCTCGCTCTTTTTATCCGCTCTGAACCCTGCCCATTTGTTCATCCCCGACCCCTGAACCCAGAAACCTTGCACCCTTAAACCTTGAACCCAGGTTTGGAACCCTACCTGGTGGGCGGGGCAGTGCGCGACCTCTTTTTGGGCCGAATTCCCAAGGACGTGGACATCATAGTGGACGCGTCACCCGCCCACGTGGCACGCGTGTTCCGCGAGCGCAAGTTCCGCCCTGTCGTGATTGGCCGCCGCTTCCCCATCTGCCGCGTCTTCCTCAAAAACTCTGTCGTGGACGTGAGCGAAGGGGGGCAATGGCTTTGTGGAGGTTGGTTGAGCTGGTCCTTACCCACCCCTGAGATTCGTGCTCTTACTCATGCATGCAGTTTTTGCTGCTTGGCATGCTTGATGCATCTCATCTCAATGCTTGATGCATCTCATCTCAATGCTTGATGCATCTCATCTCAATGCTTGATGCATCTCATCTCAATGCTTGATGCATCTCATCTCAATGCTTGATGCATCTCATCTCAATGCTTGATGCATCTCATCTCAATGCTTGATGCATCTCATCTCAATGCTTGATGCATCTCATCTCAATGCTTGATGCATCTCATCTCAATGCTTGATGCATCTCATCTCAATGCTTGATGCATCTCATCTCAATGCTTGATGCATCTCATCTCAATGCTTGATGCATCTCATCTCAATGCTTGATGCATCTCATCTCAATGCTTGATGCATCTCATCTCAATGCTTGATGCATCTCATCTCAATGCTTGATGCATCTCATCTCAATGCTTGATGCATCTCATCTCAATGCTTGATGCATCTCATCTCAATGCTTGATGCATCTCATCTCAATGCTTGATGCATCTCATCTCAATGCTTGATGCATCTCATCTCAATGCTTGATGCATCTCATCTCAATGCTTGATGCATCTCATCTCAATGCTTGATGCATCTCATCTCAATGCTTGATGCATCTCATCTCAATGCTTGATGCATCTCATCTCAATGCTTGATGCATCTCATCTCAATGCTTGATGCATCTCATCTCAATGCTTGATGCATCTCATCTCAATGCTTGATGCATCTCATCTCAATGCTTGATGCATCTCATCTCAATGCTTGATGCATCTCATCTCAATGCTTGATGCATCTCATCTCAATGCTTGATGCATCTCATCTCAATGCTTGATGCATCTCATCTCAATGCTTGATGCATCTCATCTCAATGCTTGATGCATCTCATCTCAATGCTTGATGCATCTCATCTCAATGCTTGATGCATCTCATCTCAATGCTTGATGCATCTCATCTCAATGCTTGATGCATCTCATCTCAATGCTTGATGCATCTCATCTCAATGCTTGATGCATCTCATCTCAATGCTTGATGCATCTCATCTCAATGCTTGATGCATCTCATCTCAATGCTTGATGCATCTCATCTCAATGCTTGATGCATCTCATCTCAATGCTTGATGCATCTCATCTCAATGCTTGATGCATCTCATCTCAATGCTTGATGCATCTCATCTCAATGCTTGATGCATCTCATCTCAATGCTTGATGCATCTCATCTCAATGCTTGATGCATCTCATCTCAATGCTTGATGCATCTCATCTCAATGCTTGATGCATCTCATCTCAATGCTTGATGCATCTCATCTCAATGCTTGATGCATCTCATCTCAATGCTTGATGCATCTCATCTCAATGCTTGATGCATCTCATCTCAATGCTTGATGCATCTCATCTCAATGCTTGATGCATCTCATCTCAATGCTTGATGCATCTCATCTCAATGCTTGATGCATCTCATCTCAATGCTTGATGCATCTCATCTCAATGCTTGATGCATCTCATCTCAATGCTTGATGCATCTCATCTCAATGCTTGATGCATCTCATCTCAATGCTTGATGCATCTCATCTCAATGCTTGATGCATCTCATCTCAATGCTTGATGCATCTCATCTCAATGCTTGATGCATCTCATCTCAATGCTTGATGCATCTCATCTCAATGCTTGATGCATCTCATCTCAATGCTTGATGCATCTCATCTCAATGCTTGATGCATCTCATCTCAATGCTTGATGCATCTCATCTCAATGCTTGATGCATCTCATCTCAATGCTTGATGCATCTCATCTCAATGCTTGATGCATCTCATCTCAATGCTTGATGCATCTCATCTCAATGCTTGATGCATCTCATCTCAATGCTTGATGCATCTCATCTCAATGCTTGATGCATCTCATCTCAATGCTTGATGCATCTCATCATCTCAATGCTTGATGCATCTCATCTCAATGCTTGATGCATCTCATCTCAATGCTTGATGCATCTCATCTCAATGCTTGATGCATCTCATCTCAATGCTTGATGCATCTCATCTCAATGCACGTGTATGCATCGTTCATCTTGCATGCATGCTTTTCAATGCATCTGCCCATCCATCCGTTCATCAATGCACCACCGTGATATCAACCCATTTCTCCCTGTTGCTCCACCTACTGTTTGCACGAGTGCAGATTTCCAGTTTCGACAGTGAGCCAACCGCGGTGATTCCCCCTGCTGTGCCCTCGAAAGACGATGTACTGTTGGTAGCACCCGCCGCTCAGCCCCCCTCTGCTTTAGAACCAGAACAGCTCGCAGCAGCAGCAACAGCAGCAGGGGAGGATGGGAGCACAGATGGGACTACAAACGGGGCACAGGAGGCAGGGGGGTTTGGAGAGAAGGAGCGCTGGGAGGAGGTAGATCTGGTGAAGGTTGTATCTGTGGAGACAGATGGATGGGCGGATGAGAAGGAGGATGAGGAAGGGGAGGAAGGGGGAGGGGAGAGGGCAGAAGGGGGTGCAGCAGAAGTAGTGCAGGAGGGGTTGGGTGAGGAGGCGGGGGATGTTGCTGCTGCACTTGCTGCTGATGCTGGCATTGCTGGGGCTGCTGCAGCAGCAGGTATTGATGGTGCCGCTGGTCATGCCAGAACAGTTACTGGTTCCACTGCTGCTGCTGCTGCTGCTGCTGCTGCTGCTGAGGGTACCAAAGCCAGTGGCGCTGCTGCAAGGGCGAAGGCGAGTCAAAGCGAGTCAGACGAGGCTCAAGTGGATTGGAGGAGCGTGGCAGTGCGGCCAGCGGTGCAGCGGCATGCGTATGTGTGGTCGGAGGGCGACGAGCGGCGCTGGCGCAACGCCATGAAGCGCGACCTCACTGTCAACGCGTGAGCTGCCAGTGCCGGGGTTTGCTAGGCTGGTGCTTGTGAGCTGCTGCTGCTGCTGCTGCTGCTGCTGCTGATGCTGATGCTGATGCTCTGATGCTCTGATGCTCTGATGCTCTGATGCTCTGATGCTCTGATGCTGATGCTGAGGGTGAGGAATGCCAGTTGTGAAAGCTGGTGCTGGGTTAGGAAATAATTGCTTTTGTCCCTTCGTTGCCATCTCAAGCAACCCCTCTTGCACCCACCCTCGTTGTGACCTCTGAGTTGACTTACAATTTGCCTCCTATTTCCGCTCCCTCCCCCTCCGCACAGCCTGTTCTTCGACCCGCATCGCCACATGCTGTTTGACTATGTGGGCGGCACCCGGGACCTCTACAAACAAACCGACAGTGCCCTTGCTTGCTTGCACAAGGAATGCATGTCATTCTGTTGAAGGCCTTGCCTTTGCAAGAAGCACATGTGATTCTCTCTGCTTGGCACCCTCTCCGTTGCTCTCCCCACTTGCCGCTCTGGTGTGCTCCTCTCCAGCTTGAGATTCACGTTCTGTTGCTCTGTTGCTCTGTTTCTGTATAGCCTTTCTCTGTGCTCGTCTGTCCTCGTCTGTCCTGCTGCCATCAGGTGCGAGTCATTGGCGACACGCGAGCCAGCTTCCAGGAGGACCCTGGTGAGTTGCACTCAAGTCAAGTAAAGTCAAGTCAAGTCAAGTCAAGTCAATATCGCCCTGGTGGTCTTTCTTGTCTTGTATTCCCGCAGCCCGCTCCATGCCTTGTTTTCCTGAAAATAAGGGCAGAGTGAATAGCACAAACATGGATAACCTGCCTGTCCCCTCCCCTCCCCTTAAATGGTCTTGAATGCCCGGGTAACCTGCAGGACTTGAATGGTCTTGAATGCCCGGGTAACCTGCAGGACTTGAATGGTCTGCTGAACAACCTGCCTGTCCCCTCCCCTCCCCTTAAATGGTCTTGAATGCCCGGGTAACCTGCAGGACTTAAATGGTCTTGAATGCCCGGGTAACCTGCAGGACTTGAATGGTCTGCTGAACAACCTGCCTGTCCCCTCCCCTCCCCTTCCCCCTCTTTTGACTGCATCCACCAGCGCGGTCCTGAACACCCTCCTGAGCAACCTCCTGAACACCCTCCTGAGCAACCTCCTTTCTTCCCCCCCACCTCCCTGTCATTGCACTGCGCCCACCAGCGCGGTGTGTGAGGGCCATTCGCCTGGCGGCGCGGCTGGGCTTCCGTCTGAGCACGGGGGTGACCCGGGCTCTCAAGGCGCCCTCCACCCTGCCCGCCGTCGCCACTCTACCTCAGGTGCTTCCATGCTCAATCAGGTGCTGCCACGTGCCTCCCTGCAATCGTTCTCACGCATCACCTTTTTCGTCCACATCTCTCCTCAGCTTGCTCGCCTTTTCCCTTTCCCTTGCATCTTGATCCCGCTTGCTAATTTCATAATCACACGTCATTTGTCTCACCCTCTTCCCTCCATTTCTCCCCTTCTCTCTGTCCTTTCCCCCACTCCTGCTCATCACAGTCTCGCATGCAAATGGAGCTGGTGCAGATGATGTCTCACGGCGCATCTGAGCCGTCCGTTCGCATGCTCTGGCAGTTCAACCTGCTCCCTCTGCTGCTGCCATCACAGGTAAGTGCTGCTTGCTGCTGCCTGCTATTGCCTGCTACTTCCTGCTACTGCCTGCTACTGCCTGCTACTGCCTGCAACTACATGCACCAGAAACTACTTCCACTGGTGGCAGTCCCTTCCCCCCTCTTGCTCCCAACCCCTCTTTTCCCATGCCCTTCCCTCTCCATGCCCCTCCCTCTCCATGCCCCTCCCTCTCCATGCCCCTCCCTCTCCATGCCCCTCCCTCTCCATGCCCCTCCCTCTCCATGCCCCTCCCTCTCCATGCCCCTCCCTCTCCATGCCCCTCCCTCTCCATGCCCCTCCCTCTCCATGCCCCTCCCTCTCCATGCCCCTCCCTCTCCATGCCCCTCCCTCTCCATGCCCCTCCCTCTCCATGCCCCTCCCTCTCCATGCCCCTCCCTCTCCGTGCCCCTCCCTCTCCGTGCCCCTCCCTCTCCGTGCCCCTCCCTCTCCGTGCCCCTCCCTCTCCGTGCCCCTCCCTCTCCGTGCCCCTCCCTCTCCGTGCCCCTCCCTCTCCATGCCCCTCCCTCTCCGTGCCCCTCCCTCTCCGTGCCCCTCTCTCTCTCCCCTCTCTCCCCTCTCTCCCCACTCTCCCCACTCTCCCCACCAGGCGCAGTACCTGCGGGCAAAGAAGTTTTCTCAGAAGGCGATGACAGACCGCCCCGACCTCATGTTTGTGAGTTACCCAATAATGACCTCTCTCTGTGTGCCCGTGCTGGGGGACTGCACTAGTGGCCCTGACCTGCACAGTGGGCATGCGCCCCTCCTTTTTCGGCCCTCGCACATCGAGTAACGCACTCCCTCACCCTCCGTCTACTGTTTGCAAGCATCCTTCCAGCACTCGCTCCTCATCCTCCTACCTCTCATCCTCCTACCTCTCATCCTCCAATCTTTCTGCCCCCTGCCGACCTCTGCCGACCCACCTGCTTCCTTCTGTCTTCTGCAGGACTTGCTACACGAGCTGGACGCACTAGTGCAACCAGACAACCCATGCCACCCATCCACGTGGCTCTCACTCCTCGCTCTCCACCTGGCGGCCTCTGATTTGCCGAACCACCTCCGTCCTCTCGCCCTCCTGACAGCTGTCCTCGCCGCTCACCCCTCCTGTCCGTCCGCTCGGATTGCGGCACGTGTCGCCATCTCCTTTGCCCAGTCCTCCCATCCGAACCTGTGCCAGAGGCTCGGTATTCAGGGTCCGGCCTGGCCGAGTGAGGAGAAACCGAGCCTGACTGGTGAAGGCCGGAGGGAGAAGGAAAGCAGGTTTGGCCCGAAGCAACAGGAGGGACAGGTAGGAGAAATTTGTAGTGATGGAAGCATTGGAGGAGGAGAGTACGTGGGAGGAGGGCAGTGGGCAACAGAGGGAAGCAAGGGGATGGAAGAAGAAGATTGGGAGGGATTCAGGGAGGTGGAGTGGAGAGGGGAGGAGGGGATGGAGGGGATGGGGCGAGGGGAGGTGGCGAGGGCCGTGAGGGGGGCTGTGGGGGCTCTGAAGGCGAGGAGGGAGGCCGTACTGCAGGAGCTGGCAGCTGTGGAGGGGCAGCTGGGGGAGGTGGTATCTGAGATGATGCTTCGAGGAGGGGGAATCGGTAGGTTCGCTGCTAGACTTGAGGAGGTAGGAGAGGGGGGAGGGGAGGGAAAATGGGAGGGGGATGGGGAGAAGGGGGAGACACAGGAGCGTAAGCAAGCGATAGAGAGTTCGGGGTTACTTCTTTCAGGAGAGGGAGGTAAAGGAGAGGCAGAGGGTGGAGGCGGGGCAGCAGCACAGGTGTTGACGCCTGACTTGGCATCAGCAGTGGCCGAGAGCCTGGCGAGGGTGCGGGCGTGGGGGCAGCAGTGGCACGAGGAGCAGCAGATGCTGACCGATGTGAGCCGGTTGCTGGTCGCTCTGGAAGGCACGGGAGGGATGGGTGCAATGGGGGCAGTGAGGACGACCTGGGGGAGAGGAGGAGGAGGAGGTGTGGGAGTGGAGGGAAGGGAGGGGCATGAGGGGAAGGCGGGGGAGGGTAGAGGGGGTGACGATGTGGTGGCAGGGGCAGAGGAAGGCTCTGGTGGTGATGGTGTGAGTGATGGTGGTGAGTGTGACAGTAGTGAAGGGGAAGAAGGGGCGGTGTCTGCTGCTGCTGATGCTGCGGGTGATGATGCGCATGGCAGTGGCAGTCAGCGGGCGGCAAGAAGGAAGAAGAATGCATGGAGGCTCACCACAGAGGAAGATATCATCCGGGCGGCATCTCTTGTAAGCTAGCGTGATCCCATGCTCCCCTCCCACCATTGCTTCAATACATCGCCACCCCGTCTTATGCCTTACGTTCCCTGCTCTTTCTAGTCGAACCGTTCAAGTCAGCTCTTTCATTTCAATCGGCCTCTCCCTTGCGTGTGTTCATGCTTGTTCCGCATGTGTGATGATCGTGACCCTTCCTTATGCATGTGTGCCCCCAGCTAGCAGTGAGGGCATCACAGCACGTGCACCACATGGTGGACCACAGGCTGCTCATATGCGGTGTGTCTGTGCCGCCCTCCTCATGTTCTTTCTGGCCTTCCATGTGATGTGACTCGCATGTCTGTGTGCTGGCAGGTAGCAGTGAGGGCATCACAGCAAGTGCACCACATGGTGGACGACAGGCTGCTCTCAGCCACACTGCATGACCTCACCGGATTGGAGCGCCACGACAATGTACGAATGCATGTCATGTGCTGTGCCCTTTCACTGCCATTTCTGTCCAATTTCTGCACTGCTTTTCCACGGGCTTTGGCTGGTCCTTTTTCTTGCTGAATCATCATCAGGGAGCTTGGTCTTTTCCTCTTAGCTTCCATCCCTCCTCGTACTTGCATTGCTGCCCGTGCACGAATCAGGTGTTCATACAGTACAAGGTGGCGCAATCCACTCATCAGCTTTTCCACGAAATCATATGCAAGTCGGAGGTTAATAAGGACGAGCATGCACTATTGCACTTGAAGTCCAAGTCACTCCAAGTCCTTGAGGATGGTCTTGAAGGCTGTGGTGGAGATGATCCACGTGATATAGAGCAAGTGAAGGAGCTGCTTTCTCCGATGAAGCAGGAGCGGTTTAGTAGCATCAAGTTTGATTTGAACGAGGTGGCCTCCATTCTGGTGCATGTGGTTTCAAGAGCTGCTTTTTTAGAGCGTAAAGAGACAAACAAGCCTGCCCGTAAGTGAGTAGCTGTGTTATTAGATGCTTTTAGTGCAAAAAGTGTCTTGAAGTAACATAGGAATGTGTGTTCTGTATGTTGGCGAAGGTGAGGTTTCTCTTCCATCGCCGCAAAAGGTTCGAGCCATTTGTCAAAGCGAATCATCTGACAACGGGGTTGTTTTAGAGTTAGACTGTGCTGGTCAATTGTTTCCCGCTTCTGCGTCTCACTTCATCACAAGCTCGTAGTGTGAGTGACACTCCAGAAAAGCAAGCCCGTGCGTGGTAGTTGCGAAACGGGTGGTGCGGTGCGGGCGGATGTTCCGAAATCAACGTTTGATCCGTCCATGGAGATTGACTTGCAGCAGCCTCTTGCTGCCGGCGGTTCTGCCGGTAGCGCTGACGTCGTCCGTCTGGTCGCGGCGGAGCATCAACGGATTCTGGTACGCGGATTTCCCGCCGTCTTCGAGTCGACTCGAAAGACTAGGACTACTGTTCCCAAGCGGAAAGGTTACTTTTCTCTGGTAGACAGAGCGACGGCGACTTCGCGAACGTTAGCGTCAGTCTGTTCGTGCAGGCGAGCCGGTGGATCCCGTAGTTTGACATCGATGCTGCGAATGTTGCGAAATCTGCGAAGCTTGCGAAGGGTGCGAAGGCTGATGGGCTGCGAAACAGTCATCCTTTCGGTGAAGACGTGGCGCTGTTTCTTCAGGCATGCGATCGTGGAATTTATAGTGCCTGCGAAGTAGCGAGTTGGACATTCGCGCGGTTTTCATTTTTCATCTCACGTCCGTCGTCGATCTGACAAGGTTGAAACGTCGTACGAGGCGCGAGTCTTACCCGTCCCCTCCCCCTCCCCTCCCCTCCCCTCCCCCTCCCCTCCCCTCCCTTCCCCTCCCCTCCCCTCCCCTCCCCTCCCCTCCCCTCCCCTCCCCTCCCCTCCCCTCCCCTCCCCTCCTCCCCTCCCCTCCCCTCCCCCCTCCCCTTCCGTCCCCCCTCCCCAGAACGCCTTCCGCACTGCCCTGGAGTCCCCGCTCCCCCCCAGCCAGCTGGCGCTGCCAACCCTAGCGGAAGCGCTGCAGCTGGGGGGGAGTGCGGGGAGCGGTGGGGGAATTGGCAGCGCAGCCACAGGGACGACCTTGCCGGTAACCACACGCCCGTCTGTTGTGACACTCCTGTGGCACCTGAAGGTGTCAGGTCTTGGTATTGCTCCGTATTGGCTGCTCTACCCTCCTTTTCTTTGTAGGTTATTGTTGGTTTTTTCGCTTCATATTTTTGTTGACCCCATCGTCCTCGTTAATGCATGCATCGTTATCATCCGCGTCGTTATTGTGTGTCCTACTGAGCAGAAGGAAGGCAAGCTGACAGCGGAGCAGAACCAGCTGCTGGAGATCGGCCTGCGGTCGCTGCTGCAGAGCCTCGTGGTGAGAAGGGCTGGTGTGAGGTGCTGTGCGGTGAGAAAGGTTGTTGCAAGGCTCTGAGAAGCGAAATTCTGACAGTCAAGATGTCGGAATTTGTCTTTCCGACCCCCCAATAAAAGGATTTTCTGTTGTTTTCCAACCCATGTTATCCACCTACCCCACTACCGCTATCCCGTTTCACCCCTTCCGTTCCATACCCTCACTCGAGTACCCTCACTCGAATACCCTCACTCGAATACCCTCACTCGCCCCCACTGTCTCGTCCCCTTCCAACTCCATGGCTGCCATGGAAGCAGGAGAGTGCGGCAGCACAGGGCGTGTCGGTGTTGAGTTACAGCCCCACAGGTCCGCCTGGTGTGCCAGGCAGCTCAGCAGCCGTGATTCGACTTCTTGGTGGGTTGCCTACCTGGCTGCACGCAGCCTGATGCCTCTCTTCTCTTGTGCTCCGCATCTGCCCGTTCCGCACCGCCATTTGCCATTCCTCCGCGTCATCGCCCGCCACTTGCGGCCTCGTCTCCCTCCCTCGCTTTTCCGCATCCTTCCCTCCTCGTCAACATCCCATCATTGGTTTCCCACCCCACCCCACCCTACCCGACCCTACCCAGACGTGGTGCTACATCTATGCGAGGCGGGGCGAATGGAAGGCGGGGTGGTGTTCCAACTCCTAGAGGATCTCATGGACCAGTCT